AGATTAAAATGTATTAAGCTCTTAATTTTAGTCAAAAATTTCTCAGAACCTGATTTTCCTAGAAACACTCCCAAATGCGAAATTATGAAAATTCACGAATCCGTGAGCTTTAGAACTGACTGGGACCTAGGGTCATTTCAATTGAACAAGAAGCAGGGAGTCACAATTGTATATAAAAAAACATGACCCTTTTGGTGTAAAAGTAGGTCATACCGGTCAATAACGAAACATTTGTGTAAATAATGGAAATGCATTTATCAGTTATTATATATACATCTGACCAGAAAATTTTAATAAAAAGCACCTAAAATGAGGTTGCATAGGATTGTCATTCTCAGAGCCGGTGGTGTTGGAAAAGTAACATAAACCTGTCCCTTTTCTCTTTTTGTTTTATCTAAATAACATACATATATTTCTCTCTAGACTGCTTTCATAATTAAGGTATTAAGTTATGGTACATTGTTATTTTATTTGGCTACTTTCCTGATTAACCATTTTTTAAACTTGGGTTTAATATTGTCTGTATCATTTTGTTGGTAAGTTCTTTTTTCAAGTTAAAACTTTCTTTTTATGAATTCTATGCAATAAAATTAAATAAATTGTTTTTATTGATTTCGAATATAGAGGTAAATAGCATATTTGAACACCTCCATCTATCTATATTAACCATTTCTTTTTAGACATATGACCCAACACTTGAAGACTCATATCGAGGAAAAGCAGTAGTTGATGGTATACTATGTGCTATAGAAGTACTGGATATTGCAGGACAAAGTAAAACTTTGTTCTTGTTTATAATAAATTTTGCTTTCGTTTTAAATTGAACTAATTAATTTTTTTTTTTAAAAAAAAGGTGAATATGCTAAACTTCGTTATCATTGGATCAGGTAGAGAAATTTAATACAAAAAATTCAAACTCTGGTTTAAAATTAATATAAAGCGAAGGTGAAGGTTTTATTCTTGTCTATTCTATAGCTTTTCGTTCAACATTTGAAGAAATTGAACGGTTTCAAGCCCAAATACTACGTGTCAAAAACTCTGATACAGTTCCAATTATATTTGTTGGTAACAAATGTGATAAAGAAACTTATTGAGAAGTTTCAATAGAAGAAGGAATGAGTATGGGAAGGAAACTTGGTTGTAAATATATTGAGACATCAGCAAAAACGTGTATAAACGTGAACAGATCAATTCACACAGTTGTTCGAATGTTAAGAGAGGAAAACATGAAAAAAAATAAGTCCGCAAAAAAAAATAAAAAAATGGCGTCATCATCAAAAATGGATGGAATAAGATCTAAAGAACCTATTCATCTTTATGATTATAATTCTTTTAATGATGTTATAGCTATTGGTGATGAAGCATTTGGAACAATTTCTAGTGCATTTTCAAGAGATCATAACAAACTTGTGGTATTAAAATCCGTTGATTTAAAACGCTTCACTCTTGAACAACTTGATAACAAGGTAAATACAAATACTTATTTTTAATAAAAGGAAAAATAATTGTTAATAAGGTAACTACAATTGTTTTCTTAAAAGTTAAAATTACATTTCAAGGCAAAATTTCATGATAATATATTAGGATTTTATGGCATAACAAAAAAAAGGTATGTTAATTTTTTATTATTTTGAGAATTGTCGTTGATTCACAATATATTAATAAAACATATTAATTTATTTTTTTAAAACAATATTAAAGAAATGATAAAAGAAAATTATATGTTAGTGTTAGACTATGCAAACGAGGGTAATTTACGTAATTATTTAAAATCAAATTTTAATAAAATGGATTGAAATATTAAATTAAGGTTTTCAAAACAAATTGTAAGTGCTGTAATGCATTTACATAGTAACGATATAGTATATAGAGATCTGGTATATATTACAATATATTTTTAAAATCATTTAATAATAACTGCTAATGTTAATATTTTAAATAGCATTCTGAAAATGTTCTCATTCATGATGGGAATATTAAAATTTGTGATTTTGGAATCGCAAAATTTACATTAGATCCTACAATAGAAGTTTCCAAAACTTTAGGTACAATATTATATTCAGACCTAAAATATTTAAAAGATCCTAGCAAATATAGTCGCGATAAAAAATCTGATATTTATAGTATTGGAGTACTGTTTTGGGTAATTTCAAGTGGTCGCATTCCATTTATAGATAAGTCAATAGAATTACATATTTTGTTACTTAATATAATTCTTGGTGCAAGGGAAACAATAATAAAGGGAACTCTAATAAAATACATAAAGGTAATAAATTATAAATGTTCATTACATTATTAATATTAATTAGATAAATATTAAATTGTTTTTTCTTTTTTCATAAAAGCATGCTGAAAAGAAAGTCCAAATCTTCGTTCTGATATTATTCAAGTTATAGAAGATTTAGATAATGTAGATATAAATGATACTATTGAAGAAACAGACAAATATTATAATGAAAATGGGGAAAATAACGAATTTAATTTTAATTTAGCCAGACATAATAATAATGAATTACAAAGCAATAACTTATCAAGCTTGATGGATATTTCAAGCTTAATGCTACAAACTATTAATAATTTAGACAAGCAATTAATAAGCCTAAATAACCCTGAATCAAATCAAGATAAACAAAATTTAAATCCTAAGCAATTAGAAAGCCTAGATAATTCTGAATCAAACCAAGATAAACAAGATTTAAATCCTAAGAGAACTCGGTATATAATTTATATTATACTTTGGATTAGTTCTCAGTTTTCACTATAAGTTTTAATGTATTTAAAATATATTTAACTTTATCTATCTTATATTTTCGAATAAATTATAATCTATCATAATTTTTTTGCATTCTTTTACACAGGTTTTCTTGTTTTAAACTTCACTAATTTTCTATTGATCATAAAATCTTTAACCATACTTATCAATTCTTTAGCATACGAAATCCAGCATGACATTTCTTCTTGATTAGCCCTTATAGTATATTCAAGTTTTTCAATATAAACTGATTATGCTTTGTGATTCATTTCAGACACATGATTTAGACAAAGTGTTTTCAAAATTTTGGTCATATCAGATATGATTTTCTTCTAAAGTTTGATAGGATTATGGTTTTTGATAGAAGTATTTCATGTATTGAACCTTGCCCTTTTTTGTTCAAAGATGTAATATTATAAGTATTAGTAAAATTTAGGACCATTGGCCGATTCGTGCAGAAGCTTTTTTCTTTGTTCTGTTTTATCTTATTATTGCTTTCTTCTTACCTTCTAAATCCAAGAATTTACCAGTTTTTATATTTTTGACTTTGTGATTCATTAGTCATTAACAATGAGAACAATTCATATCATTTTTAAAGAAATAAAATAGAAGGTATGAAGACAAAATAATCTTACAATTGCTTCCAAGTTAGCTCTATTAGGTTTGAATAATAGATCAGGTTTATTACATAAAAATATGTTATAAGTTGTACTTGAGAATTGGTTGATGCAATAGGTTGATTTTTATGATTAGTAGTACTAATTCCGTTGATTTATATCCATATATTAAGACCCAAATATTTCTTCTTCAATGTCAATTAATTCTGTGAAATGATGTTATTGAATCTTTCTAATTTCATTAATATTATTAATTTTAAGATATAATTTATAGAGAAGGGATCAAAATAGCATCAGAAATACTGTGATATAATATATGTCATGCAAAACACCTCTATGAGAGATTCAAAACTGATTTATATATATGTAAATATAAATTAGCATAGCTGAGAGATGACCTTATATAAATCTCTGATATGTTTGTAATTGAATAAAAATGAATTTGGATTTAGTAGAGTATAATATTGCTAAATCAACTATAAATCTATAAAATTAGTAGAATTCCTATAAAGTATTAAAATATTATAATTCATTATTTTATTGTTAAACACTTATAAATATGGATTTAGATAGCAATGCATACTTTAAGCTTGCTTTATCTTATCATGATACATTATATGAAAGAATAATTAACGCATTATCTCTTTTAAGAAATATATATGATCATAAAACATCAGAAATGTGATACTTTTGCATTTGTAATTTATTTAGAAAAATACTTAAAGAGAACTTGAAGCAGTGTGTAAAATTCATGTGCACATTTAATTTTTGTATACACATTTTTTTTTTTTTTTTTTTTAAAGTTGCAGTACCGGTACAAGGGGTCATGTAAGCGGATATTTAAGGTGATTAACCA